ATGTAGGAACTTGTAATCTTCCAAGTTGTCAGGCGCTGTGATTGCAATGGATTTCTTTCATTGCCGTGACTTTACTATTTATTGCTGAATGATCAGAAGTATTAGTGTGCTACATTTATAATCTCTGAGACCATCTAGATGCGGTTTCTTGTCAAATCTGCTTTGCAAATATTTGTGCGATTACACATTTGTCAGATCTGCTAATTCAAACAAGCATAATTGTGTGGTTTCACAACCTCTGAAAATCATGGCAAAGAGACTCGGTTTGTTGTGTTCCATATATTTTTACGAGTGACAATCCCAGCATTCATACAAAGGCTCTGAATCTGCTGACTGAAGTAAATAAAGGCTAATTGTGCACAGCTGCATGTATCAGCTATGTTTTTGCTGCCATTATGACATGTTTGTGGTGAGGTATGAATTAAGACAATGTTTGTACGGTCCTTTCGTGTATGTTTATTTGTTCTTTTCAATAAGACGTAAACCAATTGGTGGCAGCAGACTTGTAGACATGAGGCTGCACTTCCTCCCATTGTTTAAAACGGTCAGATCGAAAAGTAGTCGAGGTCAAAATGGGAAGAAAAGGAACATCTGTTCAATTTGTAGACAGGCGTACACATATCTGTGTTTTGCTACAATGAAAGTCATGCAAGTAAATGTATTCGGCCCTCAATAAATAGGGTGTGACTTGTTCTGTTTGTACAGAACTATAATGGATTAGCCTTAAAATAAGTAATGACACTTTAATCACGCTTAACAGCACTTATGCATCATACTTTCATTCATATTGACATACAGGGCCGTAACCACCAGAGACATTGAGGAGGACGCTTCATCTCAGCGTTCAGATTAGTTCAGATTTGGTTGATTCTTAAGTTGACGGTTAGTTCTTCAGTGTTTATGTCCCAAGGGTTAAGTTTTTGAAACTTTTTGTTTAATGAAGATCACATTTACAATATCTATGAAATGTCTTAGTCATTCAGATGTCCTTTATGTGTAGTTTTTAGTGCTTTGCTATTGTCACAAACCCAAACACTTCATCTTAAACTATAAAAAACATTATATGAATTATTATATGTACAAATATTGTACAAATGTCTCGACAAATGTCTCACAGTTGATATTCAAACAACCAACAATTTTGTCCCAATAACATTTCTTTCAGAAGTTAGTGTAGTTGGTTACCAAATAATATATTCTCTGTGGTTGAGAATCTGAAACTAGAGGCGAAAAATCAAGGTAAATATCACCTATGAATATGCTATTCTGCATAACTATCATCTGTTTAGGATACATGATATAGCTATGAAATTACCAAAACAATGAATTACCAATTTTATATCTAAAATGTTTCAGATGTCACTTCACCCTGGACTGCTATTTTAAAAAAAATGGAAATGTTTCATTATTTTATTAGCAAACAAATTAAACTAAAGGGATTTATAGTTCCCTTACTTGAAATAAACAGTAAACATTAAATGAAATAAAATAAAATATAAACTTTTAAGCTTTTAAATTGATGTAAATATATAAGGTTAAAATATATTGATATTTAAACTTAAAAATGAAATGAAAATAATAATAGTAATAATGTAAAATAATAAGTAGTGTCTGATAAAATGACATGTTAAAACGGCCATAGGGACAAATGTGGCCATAGAAACTATTACGTTTGTTGCCCCAATCCTGAATATGCAGTTACATTCTTGCTGAGATACAATGAGTTTCGGAGCTGTCAAATGAAATATGTGTTGTTGGACATTTTAGCCCATTTCTCCAACTACAGCGTATCTCTTACCAACATGTCCCTCCTAACATGCCCACTCTGAATCTTTAAGAGGTGTCTCCTACTGCATTTTTGTCTCCCCTGTTTCTTCCTTCTCTCTTTTCTTAAAGAGTGACTCATAATATTTAAGCTACTTACTGAGCTCCACCTATAGCTGCTCTCTTTGGAACGTCTCGGGTCTGCAAACTCAGAATGCAGTGAAGGGAAAACATGGTGGTCTTCAAGTCAAGTCCATCAAACAGAATTGATGAAACTGGCAACAGAAAACAAAATAGCCAACATGGAGTTTCGAAATGGCCCTCACTCAGCGAAGTGCACTGACCCATAGCAGGGAGGCTAATGTAACACGTGAACAACATGAGAAGGTCCTGCACTGGAATGTCACTCTGTATACATGTTTGGTATGAGTTGCCGACTTTCCGTCACGGTCCATGCATGTTTTTGAAGTCAAGAAGACTGCTCAAATTCTACCTTTTGAACACTGTTTTGTGTATATTTGTAGAGTTCATCAAAATGAAGCTGATCATTATGCAACGTTGAATGTGCTCATTCAGCATTTCAGGTCTTTGTTGATGTTATTGCAAACTTATAATGTTCCAGTGTTTTCATATTTGTTGAGGCGGGTCTCTAATGAATGCTCTTTGATATGGTATTAGCTGACAGAAGCTGCAAACGATTCCCCAGGAGGCACTTGTGTCATGTGCTTCTGTGGTCTCCACTCTTCTCTCAGCCTCTCTCTGTCTGTCCCCAGGCCAACAAACCTTGTGCTGGAAGCTTCAAATCCCATAATTACAAAGCTGACAGTTAACACACAGGTAAGCTACCCTTACTGACGGGCAAAGAATGCAAACATCTTCTGCTGGAGATGGAGGCCATGCTGCAGGTGTAGAAGTTACTCCTCCATATCTCCTGGGGGTTGTGAGGGCATAAGATCATCCCAACACAAAACTGAGAGGTATAGGTTTGGTAGAGTGATCCATAGAATAACTATTTTTGGTTCCCCAAAGAACCATTCAGTTAACAGTTCTTAAAATACCTTTTTTTTTCTTGGTGCGAAGAACATTTTATTAATAAAAAAAACCTTTCCACTATGATGAAACTTTTGTCAAGTGGAAAGTTTCCATGGATGTTAAAGTTTTTCATGGAACCATAGATGCCAATAAAGTGCCTTTATTTTTAAGAGTGGAGGTTCTTTATATGTTCTTTAAACTAGAAACTAGAAAAACAAAAGATATTCTATGGTATTATTGTGAAAACCCCCTTTTGTAACCTTTATTTTTAAGAGAAGCAGAGAAATACTTTCCACATGAATTAATTAAAATCTTAGGATTTTGCAGGTTAATAAATAATTTGCTCACTTTCTCACACAGAGCAATCACAGTACTTGAAATACAGGTCTGGGTTGTGCAGGTGATTTGAGGTTGATAAGTTATCTGATGGTGCTGCCACTCTAAGAGGGAGATGGCAGTTTCGTATCTTTTTCAGGTTCATATTTTTCACTAATAGCAGGTCAAGAGAAGTAAAAGTATGAGCTCTTAAGCTGACAAAAAATTACATTTTTAGGATACACCATACAGGCTGCCTGGAGTGGCTTTCCAACAGTATCCTGACAATTGAAATATATCCTTTAACAGCACATGATCAAAAACCAAAGATAAACCTTCTTTAACTTTTTTTTTTGTTTGAAGTTTATGATCGAATTTTAGCTAACTTCAGAAGAAGTATTATTATGAAAGAAACAACGGAAAAGTAGTAAGATAATGAACAGGAGATCACATGTTGTCTGAACATACATTTTTAGAGACCTTCATGATATAAATACCACTAACAGAACAGCTCATGTTTCCCTTTTCCCTCTTGGGCCTTGAATTATGATTTCATTAGAGCATAAGTGTTTAGGTGTGGGACAGTATCAAAAGCTTAGACCACCGCCTTGTGGCTTCACAGGGACATGACATACGAAACATATGAGTTTATTTTTTTTCTTCTCAAAAATTAAGGTTTAGCTTTTGCTAAAGGTCAGTTTTGTAAAACAGTGTACAAAGAGACTGCATTTTGTGCTGTTCTCCTTATCTGGATACACAAATAGCATTTTACATAACGTATAATATATATATATATATATATAATAATAATAATAAAACCGTGTGCGTTATAGTTTTATTATTAATTAATTAATTAATTAATTTAGTTTTGTGAAGTCTATCCAAAACAGGTGCTCTATTTCCTCGACTAAATTTGCTATGAGTAATCTTTTAACTTACCACATTTATAAAAACTGATCGTGTTGTCATTTCATAGCAATATCAAATTCAATAGTGTTTATGGCTGATATGGTGGAAGGTGGAAGTACAGAGTACTATAATCATTAAATTGAACAAAGCAGGATATTATGAAACTCTTGTTTTCATAAAAGCACATAACACCCATAAATTACACAACTTAAATATGATCCAGATAACTGTGTATGGGACTCAGATAAACGGTGTGGGTGTGAATGAAAACAACGCTGCCCATTGAAGCAAACGTAGCCCGCCCTCTCTACTTTCTCATTGGTCAAAAGGCACGTCGCTCTTACAAATTCGAGTTGCCATTGGTCCCCGCACTGCTGTCGAGCGCGTTCTTTGATGACGCAGCGGCTTGACCTTCTTGTTCTAAAAGATGATTGGGTAATCTTCGAGTCGAACATATACATCTGGGTTTCTATTGGTTAGTTTAGACACGCCTGTCCTCCATTGCTCAAATCTCACATCTGAAGGTTAAAGTCTGTCTCTCTCCATCACACCGCGCTTCAGTCCAGCGGTACTCGCGTATCTCTCTCCTTCTTCTTGCTCATAATTTGCAGAAATATTAACACAATATCATGTCGATATTTGGTGAAGTCCCGCAGGCTGCTCCTGTCGCAGTGTTTAAACTGACAGCAGATTTCCGTGAAGATCAGAATCCCAGCAAGGTAACTGTGTGGGTGTGAATGAAAACAACGCTGCCCATTGAAGCAAACGTAGCCCGCCCTCTCTACTTTCTCATTGGTCAAAAGGCACGTCGCTCTTACAAATTCGAGTTGCCATTGGTCCCCGCACTGCTGTCGAGCGCGTTCTTTGATGACGCAGCGGCTTGACCTTCTTGTTCTAAAAGATGATTGGGTAATCTTCGAGTCGAACATATACATCTGGGTTTCTATTGGTTAGTTTAGACACGCCTGTCCTCCATTGCTCAAATCTCACATCTGAAGGTTAAAGTCTGTCTCTCTCCATCACACCGCGCTTCAGTCCAGCGGTACTCGCGTTTCTCTCTCCCTCTTCTTGCTCATAATTTGCAGAAATATTAACACAATATAATGTCGATATTTGGTGAAGTCCCGCAGGCTGCTCCTGTCGCAGTGTTTAAACTGACAGCAGATTTCCGTGAAGATCAGAATCCCAGCAAGGTGAATCTGGGAGTTGGAGGTGAGAGATGGGCTTCATATAAACACACGCATTTACATATCAAAATATACGAATATGAATGTCAGTGTTTGTCAGTTTATGCATGCTTTGGCCATGCACACACAGTTATCTTTCTATGACAACAGTAGGCCTCATATCAATAATAAGAATCGAACACATGTGTCTGCTCTGCTTTACTGCAGCTCAGTGCATTTAAAAATGTCTATTTTATAAATTAGAGTCAAATAAGGCCTGTTTCGGGTTATTTATTGTAGTGGTGGCCACTGCACCTGATTAGAGATCAGCAGTTAGTTTTCTGAAATCCAATAATATCAGTAACATGAGATAATTCATATATGATTTGAAATGAAACTATTGCATACTACTGCACGTATATCGCTTTAGACTATATGCAAATAATGCACACATATTGAATTAAGTTTTTTGTATAATATTTTCTATTTATATTGGTATTGTAAATGTGTGTGTCTATTTATTCTCAAAGTCTTTTGACCTTTAAGCTTACATTCTTGCAATTGGTTTTGTAGGCTAATATAGACTTGGTCTGAGTCTAAAGAACATTTGAACTCTTTTAATAATGTTTAAAATGCATTGACTGACAATGTTAACAAAGCATATTATATCTGACCTTTTTCAAAGTAGCTCTGCACACTTTTGAGGTCCATCCTGGGATGCTTTTAAACAGTATTTAAAGAGTTCACATGTATGCTTCTTTAAATACTCTAAAATATAGACAATGTATAATAAAGAATGAACTTATGTGTTCAAACGTTTAACTTGTGTTGTATCACATTAAACTGTACAGTTATCTGACATTAAACTAAAGTCACGGCATTTAGCTCCAGAGGCATCTAGGGTTTCTAAATATATTGAAGGATAAAGTTACTCTTCCGGCATTGGTCGTTTCTATTGGAGACCAGGCCCCTTGTGCAGTGCTGTTAGCTGGAGATGAATAGATTGTGTTATGTCAACAGTATTATTGTGCAGAAGCAGTCGTCATGTGTCATCTGCTGTGTAGTTATTTCGTTTAGAGAGCTTGACCTCGGAGGATTATCTTTATCTTCCGCTTTTCCTGAAACCCTGCTGACACCATGACTCCAGAGGTTCTGAGACACGAGCAAAAGCTGAAAGTCACATCTCTAAATTTCCCTGAGTCATGATTGTGTGTGGACTGTTTTTGAACACCTCCCCCTGGCCTGTGATCTTTCCTCAGATTGAAATGATTATCCCTCTTGAACAACCCAGAACACTGATTTCATATGCTTTCTAAAGACATTTACAGCCTCTAACTACAGCTTGTCATACTTCTGCAGAAGGTGACTACAATATGGTATACTTTTTTAAAAGGCTTATAATTATACTAAACCAGATATGTTGCACCATAAATTGCTCATTGATCTAATATTTGATGCATTCAGACATGCAGATTTATTAAAGTCATTGCTCTGCTTCAAAATCTTTTGATTCCACAACTTTACCAGTTTATGTACAGGACAGAATTTATTTGGATACATTTTGTTCTGTATTTGCGTAGAATTGTTCATTCAAGTATTGCATCAGGACATGAGCAGTACACGTTAGTGTCGAATAAGCTAATTTTGCTCTTGGGTAAACCGATAAATCCTGATCATAGACAGCCCTGATAAAAAGGAACAGTTACACATAACGGATATTGAGTAGATAGGAATTCAGGATGCTGTAATGTACACTATTTAAAAGATTGGGGTCTGACTCTGTTATTGTCTTTTTGCATTACTGACAAACTATTTTCCTGTTTAACACTGTAAAGCTGCTTTGACAGACACAACCATTATTGTATAAAGCGCTATACAAATAAAGGTCACTTGATTTGTAAGATTTTTTTTATGTTTTTGAAAGAAGTCTGTCATGTTCATCAAGGCTGCATTTATTTTAATTAAAGGTGTAGTAAAAACAGTTTGTGAAACATTGCAATTTGAAATAACTTTTGTTTATTTTAATAGTATGTTAAAATGCTATTTGTTTCCGTAATGGCAAAGCTGAATTTTCAGCAGCCATTACTCCAGTCTTCAGTGTCACATGATGTTTTTGGCAATTTTTTGATGAATAGAAAATTCAAAACTTTTGAGTGGTAGTGTACAAATCAGAGTTTTGCCTTTGTATTTTGAAGTAGTATGGTTGAAATGTTCATCCTCTTCCTCTCCTTAGCCTACAGGACAGATGAAGGTCAGCCCTGGGTTCTCCCCGTGGTGAGAAAAGTGGAGAAGATGATCGCTGATGACCATAGTTTGAACCACGAGTACCTGCCCATTCTAGGCCTGCCAGAGTTTCGCTCCAGTGCATCTAAGATCGCTCTGGGTGAAGACAGTCCTGCCATCAAGGACAATCGGGTCAGATGAGATGCTTAAAATCCTGTTTTGATCACCTATATCAATAACAGTTTTTATTTTTTATTTATTAAAAAAAACAAGAAACTGTTATTGATAATTTATTCCTGTGATGCAAAGCTGAATTTTCAGCATCATTACTCCAGTCTTCAGTGTCACATGATCCTTCAGAAATCATTCCATTTTCGGATTTGGCAAAAAGTTTATTTTAGACCTTGTTACACATTTTGAACTGGTATCATTCTAAAGTAGAGGTTTTTGTTGTTGTTGTTTTTTGGTATTGCAGGTAGGAGCTGTGCAGTGTTTAGGTGGCACGGGTGCTCTGAAGATCGGAGCCGAGTTTCTTCGCCGTTGGTACAATGGAACCGACAACACAAAAACTCCAATTTATGTGTCTGCGCCAACATGGGGTGAGCATAAGATCTAATTACACAAGGAAAATACTGTAAAAAATGTCATTCTAATATTTCATTGACTTCAGTATAAAATATGTTAAAGTTTTGCCTCAAAATATTTATTTCTATTTGTTGGGTCAAATGCTAAAAATGTTCAGTTCAGTTTGTGGTCTTTCATTCTAGAGAACCACAATGCTGTTTTCTCTAACGCTGGATTTGAGGACATCCGTCCATACAAATATTGGGATGCAGGGAAGCGTGGACTCGATCTGGAAGGTTTTCTGGGTGACCTGGAGGTTAGTAGCGTTTTCGAAATTCCATTGTCTTTAACGAAACGAGCTCTTCATAGTTACTTATTTATCAGTAATTGATAAATGTTATCTAAAAACCTTTGATTGTGTGCAAAAAGAAGTGTTGAGCTTGACAGATTTTTTTTTTTTTCTGCTGGGCTCAATCAGGGCATTAAAAAAAAATCTAGTTAGATTTTTGGCCCTTCGTATTAAAAGTTTGAACACCTCTGCTAGATACAGTCTATTTGACCCTATGTCTTTCCTGTCAGAGTGCACCTGATCACTCCATCTTTGTGCTGCATGCCTGCGCTCACAACCCCACCGGCACAGATCCCACCCAGGACCAGTGGAAGCAGATCGCTGATGTCATGAAGGTGAGACCATCACAACAACCCCACATCATCTGACTAAGATTAGAACATTGAAGCTCATGATACAAAAATGGATCCTAATTGCATGTTATAAGACATTTAAGCACAATGTGCAATTACAACCTACTGTTGTCTAAATTTAAACTCTTTGCAGTTTTATAAATAGTGAGTTAACTATTGCATAATTATCTAAAGCCAACATATATCAAAATTGTAATAGAGTTATACAGGGCACAGAATGTTACTGAAAAGTTAATCAGTGGAGCTGTAATTCCCTAAAATGCATTTTTGTATGGCAGAGATGTTGTTATCTGGCTTTTTTCTTCTCTCAACTCTCTCTTCAGCGAAAGAGTCTGTTTGCCTTCTTTGATTCAGCCTATCAGGGTTTCGCCTCAGGAAATTTAGATAAGGACGCCTGGGCTGTCCGCTACTTTGTGTCACAGGGTTTTGAATTGTTCTGTGCCCAGTCGTTCTCAAAGAACTTCGGTCTGTACAGTAAGTGGTTCCAGTGGAGTTTATGTTAGTTGTTAGAGATTACGTTTTAATGCCTTGTACTATGTCCTTGTTCAGAACCATTTGATTGTAAAGAATAATCTGACTCCACAGATGAGAGAGTGGGGAACCTGACTGTTGTAGCTAAAGACCAAGACAATTTGAACCGTGTACTGTCTCAAATGGAGAAGATCGTTCGCATCACCTGGTCCAACCCTCCATCCCAGGGTGCACGTCTGGTTGCCATCACACTCAACACCCCTGAACTCTTTGCTGAATGGTAAATGCAGTTAAAATTAATCTAATTTTATGATTTTGGTTCAACAACAAAACATTAATACATTTAATATTGTCTCTCAATCTCAATTTCATCACTGTGATGTAAAAAATCAATTACATATTAAATTGTAAACTACAGTATTTGCTAGAATGTAAGAAATGTGAAAATAGAAGTTAGAACTGAGAAAATTGTTAAAAGCTAGTACTGAGAAATTAGGTAAAAGTTAATACTGAGAAAATAGGGTTATAGGCTTTAAAAGTGAGAGTAATAGTTAATGCTAGTACTTAGAAAATAGTTCAAAGTTAGTACTGAGAAGATAGCTAGAATGTAAGAAATGTGAAAATAGAAGTTAGAACTGAGAAAATAGTTAAAAGCTAGTACTGAGAAATTAGGTAAAAGTTAATACTGAGAAAATAGTTAAACGCTAGATCTGAGAAAATAGAAGTTAAAACTGAGAAAATAGTTTAAAAATAGTACTGAGAAAATGGTTAAAAGCTAGTACTGTGGAAAAGTTAAAAGCCAGTACTAGGAAAAATCATAATTTGTTTGCAGTTGCCACTATTTGATATTTTGTTAATCGATAGTTTGATATTTTGGTTAATTAATGCAGTGTATGTGTTTCAAATTTACATAAAATGTCACTCAATCATTTGAAAATGTTGTTTTCTGTTTTACAGCTAAGCAGGTGGAGTACCTGGTGAAAGAGAAGCACATTTATCTAATGGCGAGCGGGCGCATCAACATGTGTGGCCTCACCACCAAGAACATCGACTATGTGGCCGAGTCCATTCATGAGGCTGTCACTACAGTCTAATAAGCACCTTTACCACACTTCCTGTTTGTGTGTGTGTGTCCACAGGAACATAGACACGCACAGACACACACACTGATACACCCCTTCACTCACCAGCTTTCCTGGTCTAATTTAGTCATCAGCATTTCAACATTCTGTTTTAACTTGAAATTATAACGCAATGAAACAGTCCCGGACTGAACTCCACGGATAATATTTAAACATACTCTCTTCTGAAAACACAGGAGAAGGGTGAAGGGAAATAAATATATATTTATTTCCCTTCACCCTTCTCCTGTGTTTTCAGAAGAGAGTATGTTTAAATATTATCCGTGGAGTTCATGTAAATCTTGTTTCTATGAATAAGCACTTTGTGGTGGGATTTACAGTCAACCAAACAACTCTCTGGATTTCATTAACCTGAAGGTCCAGCTTGACTGATTTTATGATCTTTCGTGGTCTTCGATTAAATTCACACAGGTTAGTGTGACTGAATCAGAGTTATAGACAACCTTTGAGTTAGTGGGGTGAAATGGGTGGAACCTAGCCTTTATTAAATTAACTCGTCGAATTTTATCACCTTGTGTCTGAAAATGTAATTGTGTTGAGTGCTGAACTGAAGGACAGTGTGCATGTTTCATGATCGATGTGTCTGTATTCTTAAAACATGCACACAGAAACGACTCTAGAACTTGAATGAATGGAGGCATTAGATTGTGTTTCATTGTCAATTCCTGATCCTCTTACCTCAAATTAAATGGCTTGAAGAAACATTTTACCTTGAAAACTTATTGTGACTAGTTAAAACAATGGAAGAAGAAAACTGGTATTGTGGTCTGTGAAGAGGTGCATTTTGGGATATTGGATATCTGACAGCTGAAGGAGAGTGAATTCTACAGAAAAGTGATTTGGGGGTTTAATATTCTTTTAAGCTTTTCGTGTTTGATGTTCTGGAAATTCTGGGTTGTGAAGAGCCCAGGCATTGTTTTGCACTTTATTTTCTGGTGTCTTTTTATTCTGGTCCATCGCTTTTACTGCTGTGTTTTTGTGTTCAGGCTCATTTGTGCACTGCAGGACCGTTTAATGAATGTGCAGACATTAGGCCAAGTATACTACTCTCCCACCCAGCTTAGTCGCAAAAGATCAAACCTCTAGGAGTATTAAAAACTCTTGAGCACAAATATACTAATCAAAGTGCATTGAAATAAAAGAAGTAAACAAGCATGTTTTCTGGTGTGTTTTATTAGCACAAGTCACATGTCCCAGTGACTAGTGATAGTATATTAACCGTATCATTCAGAAGAATGGGGTATTATTAAGAAATTAATACTTGTTTTCAGTGTGGGTGCATTAACTTACAAAAAGTTCACTGTAGTTCACTGATCACTGTAAAAAAAATTACAGTGATCATTTTTTATTGCAGATTTTCTAGCACAAAACTAATGAGATGAAATTTGTTAGTTAAGGCAATTTTTTTGAATATAACAGGGCTGGCAAAAAAATAGTTTTTAAAGATAAATCCATGGTCTATTGTTTTAAAATGTGTGATTTGTTAACTGCACACAGAGAGTGACTGGCACTGCTAGAATTTACTCTGTTGTCTATTCATATTATATGCTTGTCAATTTTAAACTTACTGTGACAAGGTTTGTTTCTTCATCAGAACAGATTTGAAGAAATTTAGCATTACATACTCTGCAGTGAATGGGTGCCATCAGAAGGAGAATCCAAACAGCTGATAAAAACAACACAATAATCCACAAGTAACCCACACGACTAACATCTTGTGAAGTTGCATGTTTGTAAGAAACAAAGCAGTACCTGTTGTTCTCTCACATCAAAATCCACCCTCATATTTGCTTAGAACTGACCTAGACCGCTTTCACTTGTAAACTCAGCTTGATCTGTGTATATTTCTCTGCTGATTATGGACAGAGGACTTGCATTTTAACTGGAAGCCACAGTTTAAAGATAAAAAACCCCTTAATGATTACAAATCAGCAGTTTTTCACTTCACAAGACAATAACTGATAGACTGGAGTGGTGTTGATTAATGTGTTGTTTTTATCAGCTGTTTGGCCTCTCATTCTGACGGCCCCCATTCACTGCAGAGGATCCATTGGTGAGCAAGTAATGTAATGCTAAATTTCTCCAAATCTGATAAAGAAAGAAACTAGTGCAGTTTTGGCAAATGTTCATTTTGGGGTGAAATATTCCTTTAAGTTAAGCAACTATAAGTAACTTTTTACTCTATGCAAAGCTGCAACCATATTTTTAAGTTTAGGGAGCAAACGTTTTAGAATCTGCCATCTAACAGGCACAAATTGCACCTCTGAAAATGGGCTTTCAATTCTGAGTGATCGAGTGGCATTATCTGAACACAATTTATGATAAGCATATTCAAAGAATGTGTTCTGCCTCAAAATAACACCCAGCAAAGGTTATCGTCCTGAAATAGTCCAGCAGTTGTTAAACCTCAATGAACTTTCTTTTCATGTAGCTGAAGTGAAATTTGTTGATATTAATCTAAAACATTCTCTTCCATAACAGGACTGAGAGCTCAAGTGTACCATAATAAACCTTTAACCTATTATACTGCTTAACAGTGTTTGTTTACTGTAATTGAACAAAAATTGTTATCCAAGACAAATTTTTATCAAATCCTAATTTATTGGGATACCAGTGGTACTTTTCATTCTAAAATACCACAACAGAATATTTGATATTCTCTTTATGTGAAAAACTTGTTGCATTTTTCCCAAAAAGACTCATGGCTGTATTAGATCAAAAGGGTGCTTCTACTAAATACTGAGCATTTTTCAGTTTTTCTTTTTTAATAAATCTGCAAAGATGTCAACAATTCTGTGTTTTTCTGTCAATATGGGGTGCTGTGTGTACATTAATGAGGAAAAAAAATTAACTTAAATGATTTTAGCAAATGGCTGCAATATAACAAAGAGTGAAAAATTTAAGGGGGTCTGAATACTTTCCGTACCCACTGTATATATATATATATATAATGTTCTTATATAATCAGAGCAACATTTTTTGTAAAGTCATACACAATTGTTTTCAAATAGAAGTCTTTGTAAACTCTGTAGAAACATATATCTATCCTTCGGCCGACTCAATGTACAGAGAGCGAGAGCTGTAGAGGATTTTCTAAACGTTTTTAGCAAATACCCTCAGTTTAAGGCTTAAATATACACGTGCTTAAATATACAGTGGATTTCTCATCAAAAGCAGCTGAGTCAATCATGTGTTTGTTTGGAGGGGTTGATCCAGGCATCAGCATGCGTCACTCAGTCCACTCTGCAATGCAGCACCGTGACGTTAAAAAGTGCTGCCCCCTCTTACTTTCTTTCTAGCGCACAGTATTGCACAACACAAAGTGTCCATGTGGCCTGAAAGCAAGCAGACACAATCAGTTTACTCCAGTCCAGACCATCAAGATGCAAAGCAACTTTATAAAAGGGGCTAGCTTGGTTATTGCTATTAAATATTAGGAATAAATATCAAGGGGAAAGAAACGGACATCCAGTGGTTTCCAGCCTGAGTCTTTGTGCTTTCTGTGTTCGACTACCCGGTGGTGTGGTAGGTCACTGTTAGCATAGAGGCAAAAAGAGTCTCACTTGTGGCCCAACAGTCTCTATATATCACCAGTGTCTGCTGCATGCGTGCAGGAGATAGGTATTAACGCGACATACTCAGTAAAAACAGCCTTTCATGCAAAACACATTCTAGGTATAATCCCCTGGCATAATGTAATCATGTGACCTGTTGTTGGCAGGGATGAGCTGATTGGTTAGTTTGTCATGATCACGGCATGCTGGGAAAGTCATGGCAGTGAACCAGTAATGGCAGCTCAGATATTCTTCTGACATTTGGGTTTTAGTTTGAAGTTTGAGGTCAGTAAGATTTTTTGTTTATGAAAAACTCTCTTATACCCATCAAGGATGCATTTATTTGATTGAAAATACAGTAAAAACTGTATTAGAAGAAATATTATCACAATTTAAAATTAAAAATTTTCTCTGTAAATATTTAAGATGTATTCCTGTGATGCAAAGGATTTTCAGCATCATTACTCGTCTTCAGTGTCACACCATCCTTCAGAAATCAATCTAATATGCTAATTTGATCAAGAAATGTTTCTTATTATTATTAATGTTGAAAAAAGTTTTTGTTTTTGTTTTTTTGTGGAAAAACGA